TTCCCCGGCGCCGCTAAAAACGGTGCCAACCGCGCGCGGGCAGCCCTCGAGCGGGCCGTGCCCGAGGGGACCCGCGGGGACCCGCTGCCTTCTGCCCCCCGACCTTCGCGTGTGGCGGGTGGAACTGTTTTTACGTTTCCCATCAGTGAGAGCTTCCAAGCGCCGGCGGTGCCATAGGCTGCCCTTTCCTGCTCCCCAGACAGTCCTTTGGTAGCCGGGAGCTGCTGCTGGCATTTAGCTGTTGATCGGTTTTCCTGTTCTCTTGGCCTTCTGAATGCAAGTTTTGGTTTTTTTTTTGTTGTTGTTGTCTTTTTTTTTTTCCTTTTCTCCTCTTTCATGAGGCTTACATGATCTAGCTCCACTCTGGGATAATACCGCTTTCCTCTTGCGAGCTTCTGGTCTTGAGTAATAAATGGAACTTGAAGAATGGAAGATATTTCCTGTTGAAGCTGCGTGAATTCGTGGATGTAAAAGACCAGTATTTTTGTTTTGTTTAAACAAGCCTTTTCATTTTTCCTGAGAAAACATCTCGAATGGCTTATATCCCTACATAGACTAAATCCACCACTTCTGGGGAAGGCATTACACAATCGGGCCAGTTATACAAACCTGGGTTATTTCATAACTTGTTTACATCAGCTGGCCTATCCTCACTCCTTTTCTTCTTCGGAGTTGTGCTCTCCCCCTCTTCCTATTCCTTCCCCCTCCCCCCCAATATTATTATTTCTTGTGTGGCTCCTATGAGCGGGCTGGCAGAGCGAGCGCGTTTCTGTCTGCGCATCAAGAAGTCATAGGATCGTTTAAAAGAGGAAAGAAAAAAAAAAGTGCCCTAGTAAACTTTGCCAACCGTACCAGCCCGTGACATTCCTCACATTAAAGAAGTTTTACCAGAAATGACTCTCCGCGTTTCCCGGCCTGCTCCAAACACATCTCGTTGGTGCCCTCTGTGGGCTGCTCCGAGGACGAAGATTTCCAGGGATTGCAGTTCTGGACCGGATCCTTCGCTGCTTTACAGTAAACGTGGGCCGAGGCGGGGGCAGCGGCCGGGCGAGCTGCGGCTCCTCTGCGCTCCCATCCCCTCCCTTTCCCTCCAGCTCCAGCAGATGCTCTGGGTCGAGGTGCCTCTTCGAGAGGCTGTGAAACTCTGGCTGTGTTCAGTGTTTGTGCTCCCCTGCACCAAAGGGGCTGGAGCTGCTTTTCCTCCTCTCATTTCCTTGGCCGTGTGCGTCTTGCCTGGCCGCGCGCGTGTGCGGCGCCCGATACGGGTGCCACAGAGGAGTTTCTAGGGCTACTGTCTTAACGGGGCTTTGAGCAGGACGCTGACTCGCCAGGGCAGAAATGTTTTCTTTAAGAAGCTGGGAAATTTCTCAAGGCCCTGCTCCACTCTTCCCCTTGATCCTTGCAGATGTTGTAGATTAGAATCGGACGCGAGCGCTGCCTTTACCCCAGCAGCGGCGCCGCTCCCGGGCCCCGGAGATCTGCAGGGCTTTATCGCTCAAGAAAGTATGCGATGTAGAAACTTTTCTGTTTTCTTGCTTTGGGAAATAGAAAAAAAAAAAAGATGCATAAGTCACATGTTTAAGGGGAAAACTGTTTCTGAGTCAAAACTCTGATGCTTTTTATTTTTTATTTTTTTTATTATTCCCATCCAGTCCAGCACTGGAACATTTTTAAGTTGCATGATATGCTATATTCCTAATTGCTGACTTGCCATGTGGCAAATATAGGCTTTAATGGGACTAATTTGCATACTCCTTCAGACCAGTTGACTTTTCCCTGAAATATCCTAGTCCTATGTCCAGTTTCCCTTCAAACAGACACTCGGCATGGGAGAACTATCGGGAGCTTTTTGTTAGGAGATATACCCCCCAGCTTTGATATGTATTTGAGGATTTGTTAGAGATCAACTTCTGATTTCTCCCCACCCCTCCCCTCTTTCCTTTCCCTTGGCTATTTTGCCCTTTTCTAGCTGGTTTTTGGTGCTGCTCAGTGCTTGCAGTTCCAAATGTAACTGGAGGTCTGGAGGGGAGCAGAGATGCGACGTGGCACCCTGTAGAAACTCCTTGCCGAGATGGAGAAGGGAAACGGTGGAGCCGTAGGCTGGAACGTTCCCCTGCGGCTGTGTCTGACCTGTGGCCTGTTCTGTCCCTCGCCGTGGTGGGACTCACTGGAGGCTTCTTGAGTTGGGATCTCCAAGGTTGCTTTCTGACCCCTTATTTTAGGGCAGAGAGGAGACCCATCTCAGTTCTTTGCACTGTTAATAATAGAACTCTCTCTATTTAGCCTTTTTATTTTATTTATATTGTTTAACGATCCTGTTGCCTGTGTGCTGCTCGGGTCAGGAGAGCGGTGGCTGTGCTGCAGCCTGGTGCTCACTGTGTGTTGCTGTGGCCCCGTGAGCTCCCCCTTGGAGCGCCTGGATGCGGGATGCTGCTCCTGGGCACCGTGTCCGAGGGGCAGGGAGGCACCGGGAGAGGCCTGCGGCTCCCAGGCGAGGAGGTGGGTGCCCCGAGGAGAGGTGGCAGTGGGGCCGTGGGGACCCAGTGCTGCAAAGGGCAGTGTGGGAGCCCTGGGCAGAGCGTGGGGACGGGTGGCAGCACCGTGTCCTGGTGGGGAGGTGAGATCCCTGGGGAAAAGCTGGCCGGTGGGAAGCAATGCTTCATCTGCCAGGAGCCTGCGTGTCCTGAGGTGCAGCCCGACAGAGGCACCTGTCCTTTAGTAGATATCTGGGGTGGGGAAAGCCGAGCCCTCATCTCGGAGAGGTTTTTCGGATGTTTCAAAGGGTTAGATAGGAAGTTTGTGACCGAGATGGCACAGATGGGGAGCTGCAGAAAGATGTGGCTGAACTGAGCAGCTCCCCTTCCGTGTCCCCGGGCTGGTGTTACAGTGAAGTCCAAAGCCAGACACGAGCGTGACTGCAAGTGGAGGAAATAGTCACTCAGCGAATAACTTGAAGCCTGATCTCTGTGTCAGGCACTTGTATCTGGCTTTTATATAGCTGGTCTCGGTGCGTTTGACTTTCCTGATCTCTGATGGGAGCTTTGAGCAGGTCTTTAGGTATTACAAAAATAAGGTATTGCAAGGGTGTTTCCTCTGGAATGCAAACAGCAACTCTGCACAGTGAGGCGCCAAAATCTCACTATGTCTTTCAACTGTAGCCTTCTAGCAATCATGCAAAAAGAGTAGGACTCTTTCTTCTCTGTTTTTTGGGTACAGGAGTAGCAGCACAGGTAGAGAGAAGTCATGACAGAAGTCGCTTGTGGAACTGGAAGCAGAACTGGCCTCTCCTGACTTGAGCACCTGTGGTTTAACAAGTCTCACGCTTCCTTTTTCCAAGGTTAAGATCCCTTTGTAATAACACCACGGGTTGTAGAGGCACCAAGGCATCCGTTCCAAAGCCGTGTGGTCACAGCCTACACTGGTGATGGGCACAGCACAAAAGGGGAACTTCACCTGCCAACCCTTCTGTCGTGTTTCCAGTTTCCAGCTCTCTCTACCTGGGAGCGCTTATGAAGATGGGATTTGCTATGAAGTGTGAACCTGCTTTGGATTCAAGTTCCAGATGTTCCACTGAGGTTCTGGTGGGGATTTTGCCAAGGCCTTGGTGCTGCTGTTATCCTGTCTGCCTAATCCTCCACAACTCAATCCTTCCCTCTCCTGTCCTTCTTTGCTATTTTTTTGAGCTGCCCAGAGGTATAGATTGTGATGTGTCTGAGTCTTTTGGTCTCCAAGTTTTGGCAATTGGACTTTTCCTGGATAATAATGGTCCAAAATGCTGTAGTTATTCAGAATGTGGGATACTCCTTGCAGTAGCCTTGGTTTAGCAGAGCAAGGTGCTTGACTAGGCACACCCTGAAAAGGAAATCTATGAAGGGCTGTGCCTTATCTTGGACGCTTACCTGAGCTGAGGTCAGGCTGATGCAAGGGTTTTCGCTTCTCTGGGAAGTTAGTTCGTTGACCTGGGAATGTGCATTTTCCCCGGGACCATTTCATGGGTCACAAAGCTATCGCAGCCGGCCTTGCGAGCCCATCCCTTGCGCGGTGAGCGCTGAGAGTGCTGGAGCGAAGCGTGTTCGTCTGCAGGATGGAGCCCGACCATCAGGAGGCTCCTGACGGGAGCTCTTTGCAGACAAAAGCATTCTTTCTTTCCTGCTTCCCCCTCCGGGGACAGGTGATTGTTTTCCTTGCTGTTTAGTGCCAACACATTATCCAGATGGATTTACCTCTGTCTGAAACAAGGTGTACATGCATTTTGGAGGAGATCATTACCTACTGCCTTGGTTTTACTGCTGCCTTGTTTTGTCTAGACAGTGTGGAGAGCTGCAGGGAACTTGTCCGATCTGAATCCTAAGACCTATTTTATAGGCTGCTATTAAAATACATATCCTCGCACGTAACCATCCCAGGGCTGGGTTTCTTGCACTGTGTGTGTGGCGAGCAGAGAGCCACTGAACAAGAAGCAAACTGTTGATCTCGCCATGGAAACCTTGCTTGGCCTGAGCCAGAGTTTCGGGGGCATCCTTTGGTAGAAGGCTTTGCACTGCTGGGTAGAAAGGCATTTCAGAACTGAAGTTTCTCTTCCTTTTATTTGGATTGGCAAATAAGTGTTTTGCTAGAAACTCTTTAATTCCCCTTTTGCCCCATGCCAGGGCTTGTGGTGGGGGGAGGTGGCAGCAGTGGGGACACTCCCAGGGAAGCAAGACTTGGCGTGGGGATGCTGGGGAGAGAGGAGGTTGGGAGAAAACAAGGTTAACCCAGAGGGGAAGCTCTTTCTTTAGAGGGTCGCGATGGCGGGGAGCGGCCTTGGATCCTGCCGAGGCTGTCACCAGACTCTTATTTTTTAATATATTTTTTTCAGATGCTTCTGAGCAGGTTCTGGCTCCTGCTTTGATGCTCACTGATACTGCTCCTTGGAGCCTGGCTGGTCTCTGAGCAATCCCTCATGTACTGCTCTCATTGACAGTTTCTTCTTTTCTTTCTCTCTCCCTCCTTCTTCCCCTACCGAATTCTAGAAATTCCGCGTAGATATGCCAGGATCAGGCAGTGCTTTTATCCCGACCATCAACGCCATCACAACCAGCCAAGACCTGCAGTGGATGGTCCAGCCCACGGTCATCACCTCCATGTCAAGCCCGTACTCTCGCTCGCATCCCTACAGCCACCCGCTGCCCCCGCTGTCCTCGGTGGCCGGACACACAGCACTTCAGCGACCTGGCGTCATTAAGACCATTGGGACCACGGTGGGCAGAAGACGAAGAGACGAGCAGGTAATCGCTGTGGGGAAGAGTGACTCGGGGTGTCCCAGAAACAGGTGTCCAGAGGCTCCCCTGTGCAAGGGGGAGTCCCCTGCTGCCCCTTACAGGATCTCCCAGCCTCACGTGGGAGAGTTGAGGTCTGTCCTGTGTGTTGGACATGCACTGGGGTTTCTCAGTATGACTGCAGTATGAGTTGGAGGGTGTTTTTTTTTTTTTTTTTTATTACTGCTTCCTCATCATATGGCAAGAGTTAACCAATCTCCATAAAACACTTCACACCACTGGGCCACATTGTGGCTTGGTATCAAAAGCAGGTGAAACTCTGAAGTTGAGCCTTGGGTTTCAGTCTGAATGTCTCTGACTGCTGCCCCGAGCAGAAGGAAACCTCTGAGTCAACAAAAGAGCTTTTCGTTGGCTGTTAGCTTTGTAAATGACCTAAGTACATCAACTGGTATTTTATGTATGCTCTGTGGCAGCTAGTCCTACTCTAGTCTCGCTTTTGGATGATACCACCAGTACCCACCAGAACTGTGCAGCAGCTTCCACGCAACACCTTAAGCCTGTTAGAAAGAGCCTTCTGGACGTCTGGGATCGAATCCACCTTCCTGCTGCAAACATACCGTTGCCCGATCTCTTAGGGCAGCGTGGTGAAGGTCTCCCAAGCAGAGTTCTTTCCATTGCTGTCACAGTGGCATTTTCATAGCTGGGGTGAAGTAGCTTGTACCACTGATGCCTGTGCTCAGTTTCGGCTTTTATTACAGAGCAGGACCCTGGATTCTGTGCTGAGGCAGGGGGTGGACTAAATGTAGATGTCTTACCCTGAATTCCTTTCAGTCCTGTGAATCTCTCATTGTCAGCAACCGCCTTCTCTGGGGCTGTCTATTGAATATCTATCCACACTGCTAGGCTAACGTTTTGTTAATAGAAGATATGAATAACACAGATCTCCCCAAATTGTTCCCAAGCAGCAGTTGTGTGGGTCGCTGCAGAGAAATGTAATGAGACGCTCTGCACGCCCTCAGCACGTTGCAGCACGAGGTCTGTTTCTAATAAGGCACATCAGCCCTACTTTTGCTTCCACGTCATCTGTTTTGATTCACAGTCCTAATACTTTATGTGGAGTCACTGCCTGTCTTACAGACCCGAAAGGCAGGGAAGGGGTTAAAGGCGCTTCTCCAGAAAGCTGCCCCTCTTTTGAGGGAGCCAGTGCAGGCTCACTTAGTACCTGTTTTTTTAACAGGGAAAGATGAGCTTGACCCTCCGTGGGGCAGATGTGGTTCCTACAGTGGGTGCCAGCTCTTTTTCCCCCTGCCTGTTACCTCCCAGTTCCCTGTGCGCAAGGCCCGTGTCCAAAGCAAGGCAAGCTCTCCCAAGAACTGGGAGAATAATTAGTAACAACTAATTTGTTTGACAAATGGCGCCTCTACGTTCACAAATTGGCCGTGAAGAGATCGCCATATCCTCCAGTTTACTTGTTGTTGGGAGCTATTTGCTGAAGGATGCCTGCCAAGCGATTCCTGGCCGGTGGCTTGTTTGCAAGCCATTCATTGTTGGTCATTCAAATCCAAGTCCTTTTGATTAGGCAGGTGTTAAGTCAGTGCCCAGGCTGTTTACCGTGACTCTTTGGCTCAGGTTTTCACTGTTGGTGCTTGTGGACGTGGAATTGGAGTACCTTTTGGAAAACACTGTGTAACGTTTTATGAAAAGAGCCTGTTTTGATGCCAGCGAATGCACATATTGGACTTGGACAGAACACAGATAATGCATGCAGCAGGGGCATGGAGAGTGCCAAATCAAACTGCTTTCAAATAAATCCAGCAATTGCGTATGGAATATTCCATCTGAGAGGCATTATAATGTTAAGCATGCCCAGATTAGGGTCTTCAGTCCTGTCTCTTTGAGATTTTTAAAAAGCATAACCTCTGATATGGTTAATATAAAAATGACTGAAGGCCTTGGGAGGAATAATTTTGTTGCCCAAGCATTTCAATGAGATCTGTGCTTGTAAAGCATAAAAGGGCACTTGAAAATTGAATACAGAGGCCCCAGGTCAGCACAGGATTTACGGGCGTGCTCAACGCTGCGCCGTGCTGAGGATACGCGCATGTACGGGCTGGAAATGGAGCAAGCAGAGCGGCTCCAAGGAACCGGGGCTGCCCTTTGGAGGGGGCTCCTTGCCAGGGTGCACGTGCCAAACCGCGGCTGCTGTGCAGTGAGGCAGGGGCAGCTGCCCGCTCTTGTTAGTCTGAGATGGGCTTGAGCCGCTCAGCGCTTACGCAGGGACGTGCGCTGTGTCTGGCTGAAATGGCAGATGTGTAGCGTCCAGGAGAAAAGCAGAACAGGGCAAGGGGAATGCCCAGGGATTAAAATAGGCGCTCTGAAACTGAAGACGGAAACTAAGGAAATAAAACAAAACAGAGTGAGGTTAGAGTAAAAATAAAACTGAAAAGAAGAGATAGTAAAATGGTGATTATCTTGTTTGTGATAGCAACAGCCCCAGAAGATACTAAGCTGCAAGCTTTTAAGGAAAGGGTTTTTTCCATTCTCTACTGACGAATACATGCGATCAGAGTGCTTCACCCAAACCTCTTGTTTCACTTGGGTTTGCAGTCACTGAGCCAAAGGCCCAAGCCTGGGCCATGCATCCCTGCACCAACCTGTTGGCAGTGGCTCCTGTGAGCAGGGGGTAGACAGCAGTGCCCCTAACACTGCTGGCCCTGTTCACACTGCGGGACTTGCTCCCCTGTTGCTTGCAATGATACCAGCGTATCTTCCACTGCCCATGTTGAGGAAACTTTGTCTGAAAGCTAAAACGCTAAGCTTGACTTGACCGGGTCTTGTGGGCTCCTGCTCACTTCCTCTGGTTTCGCAAGAGCGTAAACTCTACGGGTTTCTATGGAACTGCTCCTGATTTACATCAGCGAGGATGTCAGCTGGCCTCAGGAAGCCCTTGATAGCACTGGAGCCTTGCCTGCTGATGCAAGAAGCACAGTGCGTTATCTCGCTCAGTGCCCGAAAACCTGAGGTCAGATTTTTGGGTGGTATAAATCATTGTTGCCTCATGGACTTCGTGAGAGCTCTGCTGATTTCCCCCTTTCTCCCCCCGCCCCATCCCTGACCTTCAAGCCAACAACTATTTTTGTGTGGGAAGGAGCAGATATTTTCTTTCAAGAAAGAGGCACTTACAACATCGTGCTCTGGTTTTGCTTAATGTTACCACCCAAGTTGTGAAACAATCAGAGCATCTTTTATCTGTTTGGCCTTGGTGCAGATTCACTGTCCTCTTACACAATCTCCCCCCGCTCTGCTCCCCACTGTCTTCTCCTCACCCTTCTGCTGAGACCCGGTGCTAGCAGAGATACTGTGCGCTTTCATCTTCTGCTGACATCAGTCAGGAGGGGGAGTGCGGAGCATCCTGCTGGATCAGGCCTTTTTCCTTTGCGCTGCGGTTAAATCCTCGCAAACTTCAAGGAATGCCTTGCTCAGATCTGATTGTGGGTTTTCTTGGCACTTGCCCACAGCTGTCGCCTGAGGAAGAAGAGAAGCGAAGGATCCGGAGAGAGAGGAACAAGCTAGCAGCTGCTAAGTGTCGTAACAGGCGTCGAGAGCTAACAGAGAAACTCCAGGCGGTACGTGCTCCGCATGCATTCCTTTTTCCCTGTCGCCTGCCCTTCGGACCAACGCGCAGGGCACTGCTTTCCCTCTTCAAACATGCTAGCAGAAGATGCTGCAAAATGCACGCTGCCTTCGCCTTTGGGTGTCTCTGTGCCGAGGCTGACCGGTGGTGTTGCCCCTACTGCAGCTCAGGAGCCTAAATTCCCAGTGCTTCGTAGCAACTCCAGTCTTCCAGCATGCCTCCTAGTAGTAGTCTCCCTAGCTCTGGGCTCCATCTGTAAGTAGAAGCCAAGATGCTGTGTGCCTCAAATGTATGCTTTCAGGACAGAAGTACTGTAAGGTCACCTGAGAGAAGTAGAAAATGAGGCAAACATTATGTGTACACATTAAAGCCACATCCTTTAGACTAACCTTTCTTTGGTTAGAGATAACCATTTTTTTCTTTTGCACAAAGGAAACACCATAGATATATTTGGTCTGCAGTTCCTGGAGATATGTGGCCCAGTGTCACAAGGGAAATTACTATTTCTGCTAGCAAAGATAGGGGGGCGGTGCCAGAACTGTGGGGTGGATAAGGAACTGGCTGAAGAGAAGACAAGCTGGGCTAGGGGGTAGGAGGCTAGAGGGAAAGCTCCAGCTCCACTCCTCAAGAACCAGCCTGGGATTGCTTGTGTTTGACTTTAACCATCAGAATTTATTAACAGCAGAAATAGTGAAAGCCCATCAGTGAAATGTGCTGCTGACTCAAAACTGGGAGGTATTTTCAGTGTTGGGGGGGGGAAAGGGCATCATACAGGAAGAATTTAAGAATCCTCATGACTAAATTAATAGAAATGAGATGAGTAAGAAGTGGGAAGTCATATCCTGAAGGACTTGGGGCCAGAACTTCTCATAAAAGATGAGCTCCTCACACAGGAAGATACTAATTGCTCACAGATTGACTGTGAACCATCAGTTTGATGTGGCCATGGGAAAAGTAAATGCAATAATCCTAGGCTGCATAAAGGAGTGATCCAGCAGAGGTGAAAGTTCTAGTCCCTTGTGCAGGTCTCAGGTCATACCTCATCTAGAATAAATGCTACAGAGAACATGGGGGCAGTATTAAGGCAGTGTGGTAAGAAGACCTTTTGTAACCCTTAGATTAGTAAAGTCAGGGGATAGCTTCCCCAGTGAAAGATGGAGATGCAAAATGCTAAACTAGAAATGGCCTGCGAAGGGACTGTGGTGTGTCTGCTTGTGGTGGCAGGGGACCGGGCTTGATGGCTACGTTGTGCATGAGGAGCAGTGTCAGAGCCTCAGGTATTCACTACTTCTTCCTCTGTCTGCAGGAAACTGAAGTGCTGGAGGAGGAGAAGTCAGTGCTGCAAAAGGAGATTGCTGAGCTCCAGAAAGAGAAGGAGAAACTGGAGTTCATGCTGGTGGCTCACAGCCCTGTGTGCAAAATCAGCCCTGAGGACCGCCGGAGCCCACCGTCCAGCAGCCTCCAGAGCGTTCGGACTGGAGCGAGCGGAGCGGTGGTGGTGAAACAAGAGCCTGTGGAGGAAGAGATCCCATCTTCCTCTTTGGTCCTTGACAAAGCCCAGAGGTCTGTCATTAAGCCCATCAGCATTGCCGGAGGTTTTTATGGGGAGGAGGCACTCAACACTCCCATCGTGGTGACCTCAACACCAGCCATCACTCCTGGCTCCTCCAACTTGGTGTTCACCTATCCCAATGTGTTGGATCAGGAGTCTCCTCTCTCCCCATCTGAGTCCTGCTCCAAAGCTCACCGGAGGAGCAGCAGCAGTGGTGACCAGTCCTCGGATTCCTTGAACTCTCCCACCTTGCTGGCGTTGTAATCCCCGCGCAGCCCCCTGTTGCCAGTGTGTTACATCTCCCCCAGCACCGTGGGGGCAGCCCCACTCTGTGGTGTTAGAGACAGGCAGAGGATCGTGCGAGCACAAGGGCAGCAAGAGCGAGGATGGGGAAGTGCTGCGGCTCCAGGGAGGAGAGCGAGGACCAACGCCAGCTCCCCGGAGGCAGGAAACGGCAAGGGTGGGACTGACGCGCCAGGACTGTTTGGAGAGGGTGATCTCCCCTCTGTAGGAACTGCCTATGGAAACCTCTTCACAGCCATAGTGGACTTAGGAAACACTCTTGACCGGGACTGGAGGCGAGCTGGAGACAGTCGCTAGTCGTCCCTCTCCTTTGTGAATTGATCTGATCGGTTTATGCTCTGTGCTTAGGTCTATCTGGTTAGTTAATTTTACTAGACTTCTTGCCTTGCCTTTCTCTCTCCCTCTTTCTCTCTCTGTTTATCATTTCCAATGTTGTCGATCCCATGACATTTCATCCAGTTGCTCTGAACTCTAAAGGCTTGTTAGATCTATCCTCTTGGGAAGGGCTGTGGGGAAACTGGTGGGGCTGTCAAGGCAGGAGTGGGACGGCTGGGAGGGCAGCAGGGGCCTGAGAGCAGTGCAAGGGCTTAGCAATGCGAGCAGGGCTGGTAATTCAGTGGCCTGTGGCACAGACATAGTGAACAGAGACAGCAGGAGGCTCATGTGACATAGGGAAACTCTTAATTTTTTTCTTTCACTCTTTTTTTTTTTTTCTCCTTCCTCCCCTCTCTTTATTAAGTAGATATGTTTATCCTGCTGGTCTCCTCAAAACCCAAGTTAACAGCTCAGGGTCAGAGTAGCATCAGAAGAGCTGCTGGGATGGCATTTCCAGTGTTGTTGGCAGGGTTTAACCCCCATTTGGTAGTTCCCAATCTGCTGCTGGACTCCTTTGTTTACTTTTCCTGGGATGCCTGCTGTCTAGGGAGCATTACACCTTCCTCCCATCACAGCTCCTGACTCAGGTGCTGAGCTCTCCCTATTAGCAAATCCTGCCCTCCCCTTGGCTGTCTTTGCAGAGTGTGCCACTGAAGAGGAGGTGGTATCACACACATATAAATCTAGGAGGGACATTGGTAGTAGATAAGAGGGTGGAAACTTCTGTCTGTCCCCTCTGTGGCTTCTCTTTTGGCAAGCAAAGCAGCTCCAATCCCTGCAAGTGATGCTAGGGGGTGTTTGCTCCGAGATTCCCAGCTCCTGAGGTCGGGAAGAAGGTGTAACCTCAGGTACAACACAGGCCACAAGGCACTTCGGACCAGGCATTGCATGCTCCAAGCAATGACCTGTTCGGCAACCTCTGGTTGTGATTGATAATTCAACAGTAAAGGAAAATTGATTACCATTACTTGTACCTCAGTCTCTGACCTCCTCCCACTTTTTTTTTTTTTCTCTCCCTCCTTCCCCTCTCTTCTCTGTAACTGATTTGGCTTCGTTTGGGTTGATTTGCCTTGAAGAACAGAAACAAACCAGAGAGCTCTGCCCCCAGCCCTGGGACCTGGTCTCCTCCAACCCGTGATCTTGGCTGCTAGTACTGAAGGCACCAGAGGGCACAAGCTGGTGCTCTAATGCTGATGATCACTACTGAAAACAGCAATATGCTTCACCTACCCCTGTCTAGACCCCAGCTCAGCTCCTGTTAATGTTGAGGCACTGACAAGCAGTGGGCCTTGTACACCCCAAGACTGTCCAGCTTGTCAGCTGCTTAGGAGGCAGCTCTTTGTTCCAGTCTGTTGAAGCTGTGGTGGCAGCTATTTATTTTGGTGTGGTATTTTTTTAAAATAATAATTTTTGGTTAGGCTAGACCTGGAGAAATGCAGTATGCAATGGTAGGGCCAGTCCTGCCAGATGACTCTTGCAGATCCCACTGACTCCATGGAGAATTAGTGGACTTCAGTCTTGTGGAACTGGACCTTTACTCAGCAGGGCTGGATTTCCTCCAACCTTGGCCACTGCCCCACTTCTTGAATCATTTCAAAGCGAGACTACTTGGACTCTGAAGGTAGATTTTTTTTTTCTCCCTCCTCCTGCCCTGATATTTACCAAACTTGCCAGAAATAGAAAGATAGGAGTGTTATTTTTGCCTTGTAAAACTGCCAGTGATTCTTCCATCATTCTACCAATAGTAGAGGTCTGAAATGGAGCTTATGCAACAAGTAAAGCTGATAAGGGAGTTCTTTTGTCCTTACACGAGCATCAGGGCTTCCTTTTTAATGAAGTAGATACTAAACTTTTGGTAGTTAGCACAGCTGATCTTGTTTTCATACGGTTTTACATAGATTATGTCAGTTCAGGAGAAACTGTGGCTGGTTTAATCACCTCCAATGCCAGATGCTGGCTTGGGCCAATCTGGATTTAGAGGCCAATAGTACAATAGCTATTCAATAAAATGTCTCTACATCTCATTACACCTATTGTGGGAGGAATGCAACATTGACAAGTGGTGAGGCCTGAAGTCAGGCAGCTACTTCTGAGGCCAGCTCATCACAGGCCTGCGAGCGATCCCTGGGCCTGAGTCGAGGCTCAGCTGATGTACCTAAAGCGTTCCTAGCAGGGAGTTTGGGAAATGCCACCCCAAACCTGAGTTAACTCAAATAATAGCAGGACAACAAAAACCTCTTCTTAAGTCTTGCTGGTCCTTAGGGAAGGATGTGATATTTTTAACACAGTGACTTGTCCCCTTTCGAGTTGCAGTTCAGTTATGTTGACCACCTCATCAGCTGTGTGTCTGTCTCCAAGGCAAACAAGCATTTTTAGCCATGTAGTTTAGTAGTTTTTGGAAAGGAAAAGGTTTATCTAGCTCTGGTGAGTAGGCAGGTGGGAAAATCCAACTGCATTTCCAAAAAAAAACCAAAAAACACCCTTAGGTGTGGCCTTTGCTGCAAAAGCCACTGCTGCCAGCCTGCAAAAGCCATCCCAGAAATCTGAGATGTTTATTCTTGTATTTGGCTCAGTTCTTTGTGATAGTTCCAAATCGCTCTCAAGTTTTTCTTCTTTTTTTAAACCACGTATGAAGTCCTCAGCTTAGCAATATTTTAAATATGGGCTGTTGTTACCCATTTATACCAGGGACTCCCTTTTCCCCATCACACACAAAGGTGATTTTACCTTTACTTTGTTTTCACTGAGCTATTGCCTCAAGGAGCTGTAGCTGGCCCCTGCCCACTGGCTTGTCACTGATCATCTTGCAGGTGAGACAGAACCATCCCCTTTTCTGCCTTGTGATGCCAAGGGGAGCAATTCGAAACTACACATGGAAGATGCTGATTATTTGCAAGAACTCGAGTGCCTTGTGCCTGCCTGTCTTGTCCCTCAGTCCTCTCTGAGCATTTCTGTGCTGGAATCGCCAGTCTCCTGCCTTCTGAATTTTGTGGATTAGCATTACCTTTAGTTTCTAGTAGGCAGGAATACCTTGAACTGTCCAGCTGTTTTGGCCCTGGATTTTTTCCCCCCCCCAAGTGTACTGATGTGCTTTAGAGAATTGACAGTCTTCCCCATCTCACAGATGCTGTTTTCCATGAATACCTCCCCCGATGATTCCTCAATGTTCACTGTCTCCACATCCCACACGCAATGGGGGTGCAGATGCTATTGTAACTAGTGTCTCACCAAAAGCTGTTGAAGTCAGTAGAAAAATGCCTGGAGAATTTCAGCTGGTATTGGGTGACCACTTCAACTGGGTCATTCAGCTGGCCCTTGTGACTGGCCCAAAGAAGCCCCTAATAACAGAAGGAGTAATAAATTGATCAGTGCCCAGCTGGGAGGAGCAATAGCAGCCACACTGAAGGAAACACGCAGCTTCCAGGTGACGTTTGCCATTCCGGTTTTACCCTCCTTCCTCCTCCCCCTTTCCCAGCTCTGGCCTTGCCTTCATCCATTCCTTTCTTGTAGGTAAGGAGGCTGGGTAAGTCTCAAACTGCTTGTGGTGTAATGGGATTTGGGACCAACATATTGGGGACAGTAGCTCTCTGTGTTTTTATAATTATTATTTAAATGATCTATTTAGTTCATCTGAACCTTTAATTTTGCTGCTTACTGTATGTAGGATCCACCTGGCCTTCATCCTAAGTGAAAAAACAAACTAACAAACAACAACAACAACAAAACAAAAAGAAAATGAGAACACACCTAAGGCATTTCCCCAGTATCTATTTATTGGCAGGCAGTTTTTTTGAGCTTGTTCCAGCAGATCTGCCCGCCATTAATTTAACATCCTCCCAACTCGCATTCCTAATTTTCGGTGGTTGTTGTTATTGAGATTTTTTTTTTTGCTTTTGTTTGTTAATTTTTTTCATTCTAAAACAGGCTTCTGAAATGTTAAGAAACTATATTATTATGATACAAGTTCATTTTCATTAGGAAGGCCAAGTCAAACATTTTAAGAGGTGGGGGGAACAATCTACATTTTATTTCTTATTTATTTATCATGTTTACATCTTTTTTTCTGTTCAAGACTTGGATATAATAAAGAAAGCATTAAAAATACTCAAATCTTCTTTTTTGTTTTTTTTTTAGGCTTTTTTTTTTCAATTCTTTAAATAAAAGATTTTGGGTTTTGTTGTTGTCTGTATAAAATGTATAAAGAGATATGTTTCTAAAGATGCATTATCATTCCTCTGTGAACAGTAGGTGGAGTCGAGGACAAATCTCAGAATACAAGATAATAATAAACTCCCATCCTGTTTTAATTGTTTCCCTCCTATCCTGTATGATTAAAGGGTTATTCCACTTTCTTGTTTGTGGTTACTTGATATTAAAACCATATTAAGATGTGTAGAAAATAGATATCCAATTGTTTTTGCTCAGTGAGAGGATAAAATGTTTTGTATATATATTGATATACCGTGTAGTTCAAAGTAACATCAATAAGGGATAGTGCATCTTTATTAGAGCGATAAGTTACTAGTGTCACTAAAGTCTACTTTAAGATCCTCAGGTACAAGAAGAACCTGATTTTCAGTCCACTTTCTTGTGGGTAAATGGAGAGCATCAATAGTGTTTCACTGCTGCAAAGCAAGTGTCAGGTAAAATCAAGTGATTAATGTGCAACCTCAGTGATTAATGTGCAACCAATGAGGATTACTGAAAGTCTGGGGGCACCGTTGTCTTATTTTCCTCAGAAGTTTTAGATCACAGTTTTTCTTTCTTTGTTTGCAGTGAAATAATTTCTGCTGAGGAGGTTCTTAAAGGTGACTGTTGAATTGGGACCCTTCTTTGCTCGTTGTGATCTTTATATAGTTCTTGCAGTCCTGGAGAATCTCAGCTCTGAGGTGCTCTCTCTGGTGTTGTCTCTTTTCTGTTCTTGTTATTTTACTGTAATACAGGCCTACAGTATTTGCACTAAAACAAAAAGCTTGTTAGAGAAAGCTTGCTGCTATGAAAGAAAGAACATATTAAAATGATTTTGCTTTTACAATTTTAACTGAGTAGCATTTTGTAGAATAAAATTGATTTAGATTGAGAAGAAAAAAAAAGACTTTTCTTTCTTCCTCTCACTTTCCCCTTGTTCCCCTCTCATCCTCCCTTCTTTTCCTTCCGTTCCTCGGTGGTGTGATGTTTCCCCCCTTCTCCTTTGGTGCTCAGTTGTAATGATTGGCTGTATTGTTGACTATGCTGCTGAGAGTTATGACACTTGTAAATCCTGTTTTAATGACATTGTGGACACTTTTGTATAGCAAGAGCTAACTGGAGTCCTCTCTCTGTTAACTGAAGTCATTAAAAAGCTCCCTTTGCCATGAACAATTAAAAGCTTGCATGTTGCTTCAATCTGAGCAAATGGGTACAGTATTGCCAGGTGCTGGACCCTAACACACTTCAGAGCTTCTTTCATTAGAGCAGCTGCAACGCAGACAGCTGTTAGCTGCCACAGTGCTAAATGGGGCAGAGGCTGAGTGAGCAGAGCACCTGGGCCAAAAGGCAAGTGACGCATTAATCCTGTCATCTCCCTTCCAAAAAGAAAGGGATGGAGCTAAGAAAACACATGAGGAGATGAATTCATCATTATTAGTATTGTTTTAAACCACCTC